TATAATGATACGTATTATAGACTTATTACTTATGAAAACAATCTCCTCAAATGAAAATTTAATACACCTTAAAAATCATAAAACATTTAAGCCTACAACTCTACTAACTACTGCCAATTTTGAGGGTATCCTCCAGTAAATTCTCTAAATAAAAAAACACACATACTCACAACTGCCACCATACAATCATGATGACGATCATCATCATCATGACAATAATTATTACTTGTGATGATATGTTGGCAATGCTTAAAATGTGTCACCACCATATCCTTACATCCTTCCTTCCTGCCAGTGATCCGTTCGTTCGTCCGTCTGTCGGTTGGTCCTTTCACTTATTTGCTTATCCGTTTCGCTCATTTCGTATTAAAATTTCAACACCCCGAAACATTAATGGGGACAGACGGACGGACGGACGGACGAACTGGCATTCCAAACCATGGAAAGGAAATGAGCTGCAATATGGATAGTCATATTAGTTGAAACGTTTAAACGCCACTTAAGTTGCATGGCTTAATGAAGATGTGCATGTTTAATCGCGCCCAAAAGTTTGGGGCAGAAATTTACTTCCAACACCCAGACCCACCCCGTTACCGTTGCCCTACAAATGGAGATAGGGGAAAGTTGTTAAACATTGTTCTCTAGTTTCGTCTCATTTTACAGCTCGTCCCCCACCACACACTTATGGAAAATTGTCTAGTTGATGAAATTTATATTTTTTTCCTTTTGGCATTGTAGCCCGTAGGTCCGGCCCGGTTGAGCAGTGTCTTTGTTGAAGTGTGGCCAATTTAGATAAATGATGATTTAATTATTTAACCTCTCCGTAAAGAAGTCTATAATTTAACCGGAGCACATGGCTTAAGGTGTTCTTTGCTGTCACGTTATGGACGTATGTGTGTGTGTGCGGGTTCAAGAATGCATAACAGTTTCAGCACCTACTCATAGAGCATGTTGCACCCACATATACACACATTCACCCGTAAGGCATGTCCTTATTTATTTATTAAAAAAAATAAATCTGCATAACACTTTCAGAAGAAGGCAGCAGTTTTTTGTTTAAAGTTGTTAGTGTGTGCATAAATGTTTGAGTATGTGTGTTGCAAGCTTAAAGACACATGATAGCTAGAATGTTGGTGGGCAACAAAAAAAGAGAGAACCCTCTCCAGTGATTTCTATATATAAGTGCATATGAATGAACTCAGCGCCCATCTCACACAGCTCCAAACGTGACGTGTATGCTGACATATGCTGCACTTTGATGTGGTAGCTAGATGCTATTAAAAAATTGTATTAGGGGTAGTACGAAACTTGGGAGTCGACATGGAAACAACATCAGATGGTTAGGTTTTGGGATATAGGATATGGGAAAATGTCCTTTCAAAATCACATATTGGTTAAATATCGAAACCAGCTTTCCATAGATAAAACACTTCGAACTAGTTCTTACCCCCAATAGCGAAAATTCAATACATTGGTAGTTTTTAATATTTTAAAGTAACAGAACCTATCAAAAGCACATTCACAAGTGTTTTCATATTTATAGTCCACTGTGAATATAACGCAAAAACTTAAGCGTTGCACCATGGGCATTGAAAAAATATTTTACAAAAAAAAAAGTACATCAATGCCACAAAAAACACTTCTCTTAGAACCTTAAAGGTCCTTTAGAAATATTCTTTAAAAATTCAAATTCATAAATAGCATTAAAGACCCTTGGAAAAATGTATGTAAGGGCGTTCGTACCCTTGCCCTTGAACAAATATTATTTAAAAAATCGAAGATACATGAAAGAATATTCTTTAAAAAGAATATATCCTTAAAGATCCTTGAAAACATACTCCTTAAAAAAATCAAAGGTCCTTGAAAAAATATTCTTTAAAAAAATCCAGGATCCTTGAAAAAATATTCTTTAAACAATCCCAGGTCCTTGAAAATACATTTTTCAATAAATCCCAAATTTTTGAAAAAATATTCTTTAAAAAATCCCAAGTCCTTAAAAAATATTCCTTAGAAAATCCAAGGTCCTTTAAAGAAATATTCCTTAAAAACCCTAGGGTCTTTTAAAAAAATATTTTTTTTTTAAAAAATTGATGTTCATAGCCTTAAAGGTCCTTGAAAAAATATTCTTTTAAAAATCCAAGTTCAGAGCCTTAAAGACCCTTGAAACAATATACTTTAAAAAAATCCCCGTTCATAGCCTTGCAGGTTTTTGAGAGAAAGATTTTTAAAAATCCTCGCACAGAGCCTGAAAGATGCTTTAAAAATAATCTTTTAAAATCCAGGTTAAAAGTCTTAAAGGTCCTTGAAAAAATATTCCTTGAAAAATCCATGTTCTGAGCCTTAAAAATTCACGTTCCGATTCTAAAAGGACCTCAAAAATGTTAATTAAAGGTCAACATTCAGATCCTTGAAGATCCTTAAAAAATATTCTTTAAAAATCCACGTTCCTTTTATAAAAGGACCTCAAAAAAATGTTTACTAAAGGTCGACACTCAGATCCTTGAAGATCCTTAAAAAATATTCTTTAAAAATCCACGTTCCTATTCTAATAGGATCTCAAAAAATTTTAATTAAAAGTCAACATTCAGATCCTTGAAGATCCTTAAAAAATATTCTTTAAAATGTCCAAGTTTAGAGCACTGAATGTCCTTGAAAAAAATTCTTTAAAAAATGCCAGTCAGGAATCTTAATGGTTCTTTAAAAAAAATGTTATTAAAAATCCAGTTTCAGAGCCTTAAAGCTCCTTGAAAACCAACTCTTTAAAATAATCATGTACAGAGGTCCTTGTTTTAAGGTCCTTAAAAAATATTTTTTAAAAAGTTCACATTCAGAGCTTTAAAGGCCCTTGAAAAACATTCTTTAAAAAATCCAAGTTCAATGCCATGACAGTTCCTGGAAAAATATTCCTTAAAAAACACACACACATTCCGAGCCTCTAAGGTTCTTGAAAAAAGTCCACGTTCAGAGCCTTAAAGGTCCTTGAAAAAATTGTCTTTAAAAATGCACATCCAGAGCCTTGAAAAAATTGCCTTTAAAAAATCCATCTTCAGAGCCTTAAAGGCCATTAAAAGATATTCCTTCAAATCCACATTCAGAGCCTTAGATGTCCTTTAAAGATATTCCTTACGTTCAGAGCCTTGGTACATTAAAAAATATATTCTTTGAAAAATCCGCATTCAGAGCCTTAAAGATCTTTGAAAAATGTTCATTAAAAATCCATATGCAGAGCCTTGAAGGTCCGTAAAAAAAATCGTTAAAAATCCCAGGTCCTTGAAAAAATTTTCTTTAAAACCCCATATCCAGAGACTTAAAGGTCCGTAAAAAATTTTCTTTAAAAATTTCAGGTCCTTGAAAAATTGTTTTCTAAAAATCCCAGGTCCTTGAAAAAAAAAATTCTTTAAAAACCCATGTCCAGAGCATTAAAGGTCCGTAAAAATGTTCTTTAAAAATTCCAGGTCCTTTACAAATTGTTCTTTAAAACCCCTAGTTTATAGCCTTTAATCGACCTTCATAGCCTTTAAGGTCCTTGAATAAATATTCTTTAAGAAACCACGTTCGTAGCCTTAAAGGTCCTTGAAAAATATTCATTAAAAATCTATGATCATAGCCTTAAATATTCGTGAAAACTATTTTTTAAAGACCCCACGTTTATTGACTTAAGGGTCATTGAAGAAATGCTATTAATAATCTAAGTTCAGAGTTCAGAGTTCCTTAAAAAAATTTAAAAAAATCCAATTTCAAAGCTTTAAAGTCCTTGAAGAAAATTCGTTAAAGTATTTGAAAAAGATTTCTTTAAAAAGTCTATAGCCTAATAGTCCTTGAAAAAAATATTCTTAAAAAGTCCACGTTCAGAGCGTTGGTAGTCCTTCAAAATTTCTAGGTCCTTGAAAAAATATTCTTCAAAAAAAATGTTTTCAATACCTTCCTTGTCCTTTTAAATACATCCTTTAAAAAATCCGATGTCCTTTTAAAATATTCGTTAAAAATTGCGTTATAGCCTTAAATATTCCTAAAAAATCCAAGTTAATTATCTTAGAGGTCCTTGAATAATTATTCTTAAAAATCCACGTTCAAAGCTTTTAAGGTCCTTGAGAGCGTGCTCTTTAGGAAATCCACTTCCAGGGCCTTAAAGGTCCTTGATTAAATAGTCAAGAACCACGTTAATTATCTAAAATGTCCTTTAAGAAATACCCTTATAAATCTACAAAAAAATATTACTTAAAAAATCCTGTCCCAAGAGTCCTTCCACCAATATAAAAATATTAAAAATATTCTTGAATAAAACATCACACATCTTTCAAAAAATTGTTTTTATTTATTGAGAGAATTATCCTCCCATTGTGCAGTGGTCACTTGCTCTGTCTGTTATTGAGAGCCAACACATTATTCTTCCACCAAAGTCAAAGTAAAGTGCAAATTATTTGGCCCCAAAACACACAGGGCAAGCGAACCCAACAAAAAAAAAAATTCAGCCCCAACCAGCAGGTGATGTTTGTTGTGTCGAAGAGAAAAGAAATTGATTTTTGTATTGTTTTTTCCTACCTCTCTTCTCTTTTTATGCATTCCCTATTCAACAACTATGTGCAATGCTGCTCCTTTGACCATTGATGCTGATGCTGACGACGACGATACATTTATTGTCTGTAAACTGAAACTGAATCTGAAACTGAACGATAATAAAAACATATGCTCTGTGTATTGCTGTAATTCCCCGGATGCTGCGTTTTGGTGATTTTGTGGTCGACTGACTGGCTGGCTGGTTGACTGTCGGCTGGCAAATGCAACTGAACCGAAACAATGGCATAAAACATGTTGCAACTTGTTACAACGTGGATGGTGTGAATGGCAATGCATTTTCGCGCTGGACAAACATTGAATACGACGGCCACATTCCATACCTTGATGCATATCCTGCTGTTTTTGGTTGCCATTACTTACCTTTTGGCCGCCATGGGTTTCTGGAATCTTACGTGTGTGTGTGCGTGTGACACTCGAAACAGTATATGTGTGACGGTGGTAGTACTAAATATACATTTTCGCTCACCACAAACACACATTATGGCACCGTGGGTGCGAACAGTGTTTATCAATCAACTGCCACGGTTTCTGGTTATGCGACGACCGCTCTATCCCATAAGTGAGATGATGTAAGTATTGGATACCCACAGACCACTTGTTTTTTTTTTTGCATTTTTTTAATGTGGTGGAATTTTATTTACTTCTGCTTCTCTGCTCCGACAGTAAAACATCACGCCAACTGATGCTACGCACATGTAATGGATTCGAACTTAGGGATCAAATACCACCGCTGCCACCACCTGTAGCCTTATCACGGTAAGTTGAAATGTATGAAAAATAAGTAGATCTATTGAAAAAATGGATCCTTGAAAAAATATTTTTCAAAATCCACGTTTAATCCAATAGTCCTTGAAAAAATATTTTTCAAAATCCACGTTTATTAGGTCCTTTGAAAAAATATTTTTTTAAAAATCCACGTTTATTAGGTCCTTGAAAAAAAATATTTTTTAAAAATCCAAGTTTATTAGGTCCTTGAAAAAAATATTTTTTAAAAACCCACGTTTATTAGGTCCTTAAAAAAAATATTTTTTTAAAATCCGCGTTTATTAGGTCCTTGAAAAAAAAAATTTAAAAATCCACGTTTATTAGGTCCTTGAAAAAAAAAATTATTTTTTAAAAATCCACGTTTATTAGGTCCTTAAAAAATATATTTTTTAAAAATCCACGTTTATTAGGTCCTTGAAAAAAATATTTTTTAAAAATCCACGTTTATTAGGTCCTTGAAAAAAATATTTTTAAAAATCCACGTTTAGTCCAATAGACCTTGAAAAAATATTTTTAAAAATCCACGTTTAGTCCAATAGACCTTGAAAAAATATTTTTAAAAATCCACGTATAGTCTAATAGACCTTGAAAAAATATTTTTAAAAATCCACGTTTAGTCCAATAGACCTTGAAAAAATATTTTTAAAAATCCACGTATAGTCTAATAGACCTTGAAAAAATATTTTTAAAAATCCACGTTTAGTCCAATAGACCTTGAAAAAATATTTTTAAAAATCCACGTATAGTCTAATAGACCTTGAAAAAATATTTTTAAAAATCCACGTTTAGTCCAATAGACCTTGAAAAAATATTTTTAAAAATCCACGTATAGTCTAATAGACCTTGAAAAAATATTTTTAAAAATCCACGTTTAGTCCAATAGACCTTGAAAAAATATTTTTAAAAATCCACGTATAGTCTAATAGACCTTGAAAAAATATTTTTAAAAATCCACGTTTAGTCCAATAGACTTTGAAAAAATATTTTTAAAAATCCACGTATAGTCTAATAGACCTTGAAAAAATATTTTTAAAAATCCACGTTTAGTCCAATCTAATAGACCTTGAAAAAATATTTTTAAAAATCCACGTTTAGTCCAATAGACCTTGAAAAAATATTTTTAAAAATCCACGTTTAGTCCAATAGACCTTGAAAAAATATTTTTTAAAAATCCACGTTTAGTCCAATAGACCTTGAAAAAATATTTTTTAAAAATCCACGTTTAGTCCAATAGACCTTGAAAAAATATTTTTTAAAAATCCACGTTTAGTCCAATAGACCTTGAAAAAATATTTTTAAAAATCCACGTTTAGTCCAATAGTCCTTGAAAAAATATTTTTAAAAATCCACGTCTAATAGGTCAAATAGTCCTTGAAAAAATATTTTTAAAAATCCACGTTAAATAGGTCCTTGAAAAAATATTTTTAAAAATCCACGTTTAATAGGTCCTTGAAAAAATATTTTTAAAAATCCACGTTAAATAGGTCCTTGAAAAAATATTTTTAAAAATCCACGTTTAATATGTCCAATAGTCCTTGAAAAATATTTTTAAAAATCCACGTTTAATAGGTCCTTGAAAAATATTTTTAAAAATCCACGTTTAATAGGTCCTTGAAAAAATATTTTTAAAAATCCACGTTTAATAGGTCCTTGAAAAATATTTTTAAAAATCCACGTTTAATAGGTCCTTGAAAAAATATTTTTAAAAATCCACGTTTAATAGGTCCTTGAAAAATATTTTTAAAAATCCACGTTTAATAGGTCCTTGAAAAATATTTTTTAAAATCCACGTTTAATATGTCCAATAGTCCTTGAAAAATATTTTTAAAAATCCACGTTAAATAGGTCCTTGAAAAAATATTTTTTAAAATCCACGTTTAATATGTCCAATAGTCCTTGAAAAATATTTTTAAAAATCCACGTTAAATAGGTCCTTGAAAAAATATTTTTTAAAATCCACGTTTAATATGTCCAATAGTCCTTGAAAAATATTTTTAAAATCCACGTTTAATAGGTCCTTGAAAAATATTTTTAAAAATCCACGTTTAATAGGTCCTTGAAAAAATATTTTTAAAAATCCACGTTTAATAGGTCCTTGAAAAAATATTTTTAAAAATCCACGTTTAATAGGTCCTTGAAAAAATATTTTTAAAAATCCACGTTTAATAGGTCCTTGAAAAAATATTTTTAAAAATCCACGTTTAATAGGTCCTTGAAAAAATATTTTTAAAAATCCACGTTTAATAGGTCCAATAGTCCTTGAAAAAATATTTTTAAAAATCCACGTTTAATAGGTCCTTGAAAAAATATTTTTAAAAATCCACGTTTAATAGGTCCTTGAAAAAATATTTTTAAAAATCCACGTTTAATAGGTCCAATAGTCCTTGAAAAAATATTTTTAAAAATCCACGTTTAATAGGTCCTTGAAAAAATATTTTTAAAAATCCACGTTTAATAGGTCCTTGAAAAAATATTTTTAAAAATCCACGTTTAATAGGTCCTTGAAAAAATATTTTTAAAAATCCACGTTTAATAGGTCCTTGAAAAAATATTTTTAAAAATCCACGTTTAATAGGTCCAACAGTCCTTGAAAAAATATTTTTAAAAATCCACTTTTAATAGGTCCTTGAAAAAATATTTTTAAAAATCCACTTTTAATAGGTCCTTGAAAAAATATTTTTAAAAATCCACGTTTAATAGGTCCTTGAAAAAATATTTTTAAAAATCCACGTTTAATAGGTCCAATAGTCCTTGAAAAAATATTTTTAAAAATCCACGTTTAATAGGTCCAATAGTCCTTGAAAAAATATTTTTAAAAATCCACGTTTAATAGGTCCAATAGTCCTTGAAAAAATATTTTAAAAATCCACGTTTAATAGGTCCAATAGTCCTTGAAAAAATATTTTTAAAAATCCACGTTTAATAGGTCCAATAGTCCTTGAAAAAATATTTTTAAAAATCCACGTTTAATAGGTCCAATAGTCCTTGAAAAAATATTTTTAAAAATCCACGTTTAATAGGTCCAATAGTCCTTGAAAAAATATTTTTAAAAATCCACGTTTAATAGGTCCAATAGTCCTTGAAAAAATATTTTTAAAAATCCACGTTTAATAGGTCCAATAGTCCTTGAAAAAATATTTTTAAAAATCCACGTTTAATAGGTCCAATAGTCCTTGAAAAAATATTTTTAAAAATCCACGTTTAATAGGTCCAATAGTCCTTAAAAAAATATTTTTAAAAATCCACGTTTAATAGGTCCAATAGTCCTTGAAAAAATATTTTTAAAAATCCACGTTTAATACGTCCAATAGTCCTTGAAAAAATATTTTTAAAAATCCACGTTTAATACGTCCAATAGTCCTTGAAAAAATATTTTTAAAAATCCACGTTTAATAGGTCCTATAGTCCTTGAAAAAATATTTTTAAAAATCCACGTTTAATAGGTCCTATAGTCCTTGAAAAAATATTTTTAAAAATCCACGTTTAAGAGGCCCAATAGTCCTTAAAAAATTATTTATAAAAATCCACGTTTAATAGGTCCAATGGTCCTTGAAAAAATATTTTTAAAAACCCACGTTTAATAGGTCCAATGGTCCTTGAAAAAATATTTTTAAAAATCCACGTTTAATAGGTCCAATAGTCCTTGAAAAAATATTTTTAAAAATCCACGTTTAATAGGTCCAATGGTCCTTGAAAAAATATTTTTTAAAATCCACGTTTAATATGTCCAATAGTCCTTGAAAAATATTTTTAAAAATCCACGTTTAATAGGTCCAATAGTCCTTGAAAAAATATTTTTTAAAATCCACGTTTAATAGATCCAATAGTCTTTGAAAAAATATTTTTAAAAATCCACGTTTAATATGTCCAATAGTCCTTGAAAAATATTTTTAAAAATCCACGTTTAATAGGTCAAATAGTCCTTGAAAAAATATTTTTAAAAATCCACGTTTAATAGGTCCTTGAAAAAATATTTTTAAAAATCCACGTTTAATAGGTCCTTGAAAAAATATTTTCAAAAATCCACGTTTAATAGGTCCTTTAAAAAATATTTTTTTTAAAAATCCACGTCTCTTAGCTGTGAGCCCTTGAAAAAAGTATTTTTTAAGTTCCTTAGGTCCTTGACAAAATATTAAGAGTATCCTGTGAATATTTTTAATTATTTTTTCTTCTCCCTCTTCCCCCCTCTTTTAGACTACACCATAGTCCGCATAAAACTTCACGTAGCACCTCGCCTCACCTGCAACACCGAGTACAAAGTCTCAACCTATTGGACGAAATCGGCGGACCAGGCGCCTTGGCTGCTGCTGGCAATATCGGCTTTGGTGCCAATTGTGTTCCAGCTGCCGCCACCATAAGCGGCAATTTTATATATCCTTGTACGGTGAATCAGGAAACCTCCACCACCAGTTCCCTGGTCGATACGCTGCATCACAGCCAGTATCAGCAGACGGGCGATTCGCTGCTCGACCATCCCCTGACGCCAACGAAATTTCGCCAGAAAACCTCAACATCGGTGCAGACGAACGGCTTCGGTTGTGTGGAGTCGTCGACCTCGCAGTACAGCGGTTACGGTACCATCCATCATCCGCCACATCATCATCAACCCCTCTATCATATGGGCCAATCGGCCACCAAGTCCTCATCCACCACCACCCTGCATCAGCAACAGCAACAACACTCGCATCCCTACCATCTGTACCGTCAACAATCCACTTGTTCGGCGAACTTTTCGCCAGTGCCTGCTCCCCTGCACCCGCATCAACAGCACCAGTCAACTACGACATGTGACCTGATAGGCAATACAAATTCGAATGTGATAAAATCGACGACTACTGTGAATTCGGTGGCCACCGCCTCAACGCTGGCCGGTTCATGTTGTAGCGTTAGCGGAACAGTGCAAATACATCAGGGCCTGGGTACGGGGGCGGCATGTGAATCGGCTGCGGCGACAGCGACTGGTGGCCAATCGGCTGCAGCCGGGAGCGCAAATCGCCAGAGCGCAGCCGTACAGACCAATCCAACTGCCACTGCCCGTGCCGAAGTTCTGCCCGAATGTCAGCGTGAGGGTGGTCCCCATTGTTGTGAGGTAAAGGAGAAGAAGCTGAGAAATCGCTGGCACAAATGTCCCGAACTGACAAAGGCCATGAAGGGCGTTACCTACATAGCCGATCAGACGCGCAAAGAGGAGGAGAGCACAAGGGTGAGTAGCTATTGCAAAAAAAAAAAAAAAAAAAAAAAAACTGAGAAAAGTAAAATCTTGAATTGAAATGAGGGATTAGTTGATATGAGTTCTAAAATAGAAGAGAGTAAGTGGTTTAAGAGAAGAAGAAGAGAAGAATTCAACTCTCTAAGCTGGGAGATCACAACCACAGTTTTAATTGCAAATATACACCCTCATAAGTTTTTTATAGCAAGGATACATTCTACTCAACTTTTCAGAAAAAGACTCCTCTTCTTTTCTTCCTAACAATCCTGAAAACTTGAAAAAAAATGTATATATATATATTTGTTCTACCAGAAGAGAGTTTTCTCAAATCTCTCCCCTCTTTCATTTTTTTCTCTTTTACTCTCCTTTTGTAAAGGAGAGCATTTAATGTTTATTTCAATCTAACCTTGCGGTTACCACTCAACTGCCTGTTGACCCCCATCTTGATGGAAGGCAATGCAAAATTTGACACTCATTCAAAGGTGTCCGAATCTTCAACACAAATCAAAATTTCCATATGGCCCAGAGTCCCACATGTTCCATGTCAATTGACTACAAAATTTGATGATGATTTCATGTTTTACATTGAATCTCAGCAACTGTTAGACGATGATGCTGATGATGAGGATGGTGATTTTCATGTGGGGCTGTGGGAACTGGTTGTCCACAAAAATTGTTGATTAGCTTCAAAGCATGTGGTATTGTGAAATGTAAGAGACTTGAAATGAATAAAGACAGATTGAAAGTTCCAATGGGGTACTTACTTAATTGACTGTGTGTGAAAGTTAATTGGAGTTGTAATTAGTATAGAAATTGGTGATTACAGGTTAGATACAGAAGGATTGACTGCTTACCACAGAAAAGTTGACTGCTTACCAAAACCCAACAGATCAAGAAAATATGAACTTTTCAAGGTCTACATTGAAAATTAACCTCAATATAGGGACGAATTTCCTTCGACAATAAATGTTGGACGAAAAAGTAAAACCTGCAGCTGGTTTTTTGGTAATTTTTTGGTTAAAAACTCTCTAGATAAGGGATCCTAGCAGATAAATATATTCTAGAAAATTATTTATAATAAAATCTAATATAGGTCTTTTAAGTCTAGTCCATAGTCCATAAAGCATTATTTTGGAAGGATGACGTCAAATCCAAATGATGAGATACCAAAAGTGACCCTAATATCAAATTTCAAGATATGAGAAGTGTAATTTCCCCCATTGCCAAATTTAGTACTATTTAGTACAATTATAGAACGCATATCGGAAACCACCTACATATCTCAATTCCAGATACCAACAGAGACCTCAATATGAAATTTCAGAAATCCAGCTCTATTCCTTCACCCAATGCCGAAAAAGTACTATTTAGTACATTTCAGACAATTGCGGTACACATTTTCAAAACCTCGACCATATCTTAATCTAAGATATCAACAGTGACCTTAATATCAAATTTCAGGATTTCAGTTCTTTATTTTCACCTATTACCCAATTAATTACCGTACGGATAACCAAAATCAGCTCCTTCTCTCAACTACAGACACCAAAAGTGACATGCATATAAAATTTTAGGATTACAGTTATGTTCCTTCCCCCATTATCAAAATAGTACTATTTGGTACTTTTCGTACAAAAAGGTACACACTTCCAAAACCACCTCCATATCTCAATTCAAAATACCAACAGCGACCTTAAAATCAATTTTTGGGATTCCAACCCTTTCCCTTCACCTAATAACTAATTTAGTACCATTTAGTACTTTTCATTCAGATATAGGATGCATTTTCAAAACCACCTCCATATCTTATAAAATTTTGGGCTTCCAGTCCTATTGATTTACACAAATCCCAATTGTATCAAATTTAGTACACATAAGTACGAATGTCCAAAACTTCATATATACAGGGTAAGATAAAAAAACTGCAACAAAGTCAAAAGCCGTAGTTTTTACATTATTTTTTAAATTCTATTGAATGAAAGCAAAAAATGTCGGAAATAGCATCAAATTTTCGAATATGTTTAGATTTGACCACCTTCGGCACGAATCACGGCCTTCAAACGGTCAATGAAACAGTCACACGCTGCCCAAATGTTGTTCTGCGGTATTTTGTCCCATTCCCGGCGAAGGGCTTGCATGAGATGATCGGCACTTTGGTATTTTTAGTGCCAACCTTGCTTTCCAAAATACTCCAGACACAACAGTCCAGGGGATTGGTATTCGGAGATTTTGGTGGCCATTGTGCGCTGGAAATGAAGCGAGGAACTTCATTTTGTAACCATTCTTGGGTTGCACGTGCTAAGTGTGATGGTGCTGAGACCTATTGGAATGTCCAAGGTCTGCAGCCAAAATGTTTGCTTGCCCAATGCTTTAATGCACCCTCCAGAATATTTTCGCGATAATAATCGGCATTTATTCTGATGCCATATATGATGTCGATTAATACGAGCTGAGCGGAGAGAGCCACCATCGGCTGTTATGGCGGCCCACACCATCACCATGGCCGGCGCTTGAGTTCTGGTGGCCAACCGAAGGTGCACATTTTCAGCTGACCTCCATGGCAAGAAAATACGATAATTTTGTTTGTTTACAAACTGCTGGACAACGAATGTTTTCTCATCGGAGAAAACCAAATTCGGCAGATCACCACTTTCGGCCAAGCGAAGCAACTCTTTAGCTCTTTTGAGTCTATTTTCTTTCTGTGGCGATGTAAGTTCTTGCACTTTTTGAAATTTCAATGGCGTTACCCCGAACACATTTTCAAATATTTGCCGAATGGAATATTGCGATATGTTCAGCTCACGAGCCATTTTTCGGCCACTGCGACGAGGGTTTCGATCAAATCGCTTCTTTACTTTTCGAACCATTTCTGCTGATGTTGCTGTTTTCTTCCGTACACTTCCTTGACGTCGGGCTACGCTACCAGTATCACGGTAACGAGTGATGGTACGAGACACAGAAGATTTATTCACATTTAAATGCTGGTGTGCTCTAACGATAGCCACTTCTGGTTTTCCAGCCAAATATAAAGAAATCACACAATCACCCTTGAATTCCATCACGAATAACTTTTTTCCGGAAAATTCCCACCAAAAAATGGTTTTGTATGCTTATAAACAATATAATGAGCTGTCACTGGAATAATTTTAACAGCTGTCGGACGAGTGGCTTAGAAAATACAGCAGTCTAAAGTTGGTTGCAGTTTTTTCATTTCGCCCTCTTGATGTCGTTGTTGGTGTCTGTGTTGAAGATATTGAAGTGATTTTGGAAATGCGTACTATAATTGTTCGAAAAGTACTGGTACTTAATTGGGGCAATTGATAGAGCTGGAATCCCGAATTTTAGTACTGTTCATAATATAACTGTTCCAAAATACTAAATAGTACTAAATTTGGTATTGGGTGAAGGGATAAGGCTGGAATCCCGAAATTTGATTTTGAGATCTCTGTTTGTATCTGAGATTGTGATATGGAGGATGTTTTGGAAATGTGTACTATAATTGTACGAAAAGTACAAAATTTTGGTATTGGGTGAAGAGATAGAGCTGGAATTCTGAATTTTGATTTCAAGGACACTGTTGGTGTCTGTGGTTGAGATATGCAGGCTGTTTTGAAAATGCGTTCTTAATTGTACGAAAAGTACTAAATTGGGTGTTGGATGAAAAGATAGAGCTGTTGGCGTCTAGGATGGAGATGGAGATGGTTTTGAATATGCGCACTAAATGTTATCAAATTTGATATTGGGTGAAGGGATAGAGCTTCAATTCCAAAATTTAATATTGAGGTCTCCGTCGATTTTTAGAATTTACATATGAAATAGTTTTGGACAGAAAATTTGGATATGGGTTCATTGTGCCATTTGTCCCAAATATTCTCCTTGGTAAACTTCAAAATGAAAGATTTTAAAGACATTTTAGAGTAAAATTCATACATTTTCTGAAACATCTTCAAAAAATGGAAAATTCTTGAATAATACGAAACACCTTGACAGACTGAAAATTTAGTACGGTGTATGAAGTTCTGATTAGAAAATCTATCAAAATGGACAAATTGGGCATTTTGTGTAACAGAAAGGTCTAACAAGAAATGTTGGACTTTTCGCTGGCAAGATGGCGGGCATTTTCTAGTCTCATTATATTTGTGTGTTACAAAGGCAGTATTATTTGGACACCATCTTTCTGGTGTCTCCCCCAGAAATTTGGATTATTCTAACCTCTAGGCCTTATTAAAGTTATATAGAAACTCTTATCTTCTAACTATGGAATACATATTGTCCTGAGAAAGTTCTTGATACTACATAAATCGAAGATTGCTATCCCAAGACGTTTGCCAACATTTTCGGAATAAAATTTAAATTTATTCAAGCAATCGATTTAGTTTTAACAATTACTTAATATTAATTTTATATTTTTTTACTTTCTTTCTTTTTCGAACGGTCTCCTCGACTTGCTTCTGCCTGGCATTGCACGCACACACATATACACACCACACCATACGGATGATGATAATACGGATACGGATGATGACAATGTCGACAATAATGTGCCATTGAAAATACAAAAAAAATCTGAATGGGCCTTTAAATAAACCATAAAAAACCAACAAAAACGACAACAACAAAAAATAGGTCAAAGAAGATTGGAAATTTGTGGCCATGGTACTGGATCGTCTTTTCTTATGGATTTTTACAATTGCCGTTGTGGTTGGCACGGCTGGCATTATTTTGCAGGCCCCCACGCTCTACGACACACGCATACCCATCGATGTTAGATTATCTGAAATTGCATCGACCACAGCCAAGCCGAACGCTGCCAAGCCCGTGTTGTAAATACTTATGAAATGTAAAAGTAGAAGAAGAAGAAGAAAAATGTCCGAATAACAAAAAAACAACAATTGACTACCCCGCCCCAGAAAAAAAAAACTAGTAGATATTCTTCTTTCACTTTCACTCAAAACAAAGAAAATGAAACGAAACATAGAAAAAGATAAAAAAGGAAAAAAAATTAAAATAATTTTTAAGACTTGAAGTAAAGGCAAAAATCCAACAACAACCTCATCCTGTATACAGTCTCCCGCCACATACTATGACTATATCTCTCTTTGCCCCCTGTCTTTCTCTCTATCTTGTGTGGCTCTTTTTCGGCAAAATACAAAAATAGTTCTACGACAAGAGCAACCTTCTGACGAAATAACAACAAGAACAGCAACAGCAACAACTAAATCGAAATACCGGAAAACCTTTCGTTACTACTCATAACAAGGGATATAATTACACATAAACAACAACACACACAGCAACATAACATAACAACAGCAACAACAAATAACATAAAATTAATATTAACAACCATTAAGTAAGAACAACAACAACAAAAAATGCAACAACAGTAACCATAACAGTAACATTGTTTTAAGATACAAAATATATATATAAATGATAATATATATAGGTGATTTACATGTAAACCAAATTTCCATACATATGTTATGAACTGCACACACACACACATAAGCATACTGACACACACACACATGCCTACCCAACCTACTCGTATGGGCATAATACGAAACAGATCTGCATATGTATGTGTGTCAATATGAGGAATATGAGGTACTAAATATAAATGTAAGCAACTTGAAAAGAATTTTCCATGTCCCCTCCCTCCTTTTCTCTTATCCTCCTTTTTCCTTCATTTTATGATTTTTATACATTTATACGTATTTTCTTTCCCATGACATATTCCTAAATATTTAACCCTTTCGGTGGTTGTGGGTTTCAAAACGGCCTCTTTCCAAAATTAACAAGTAAGGAATTTGATTTCAATATCTGCAAAATAATGGAGCCTCAGAGAAAGTTCAGAATAATACCATTGGTCCTTGTATCCCATTAAAATAAAGGTTGAAGACCCAAGATCTCTCTGTGGACATAATGCGTTTCAGATCATTTGGAGTCATTTTAGCAATGCATATTAACTCGTGAGGAGTATCCGATTCCGTCCAAATTTGGTATATAGTAATATTACTATCAAATATGGATAATATCGACTCGTTCTCGTTCAGGTGCCTACCCTAGAAATGATCACAATTTTAATTTACTACCAATTACATAAAATTTGTTACAAGTGTTCGATTTTCTTTAAATATTTTTTCTCAGTATTAGATAAAAAATGGAATGTATCGGCCCAGTCTTATCCATACAAAACAGTAAAGAAATGCGTATTGTGGTTTCATGTGCAAAAATCCATTCAATTTGGCCTATTATCAAGCATTTGGTGCACAATACCCCTGAAATCGGATTAAGATACATATGAAAGATACATCCAAATCTGAACGGATATCGCTAAAATTTGGGAAAGGTATTTCTGAGCTCCATCTGCAGTCTGCTGTAAAATAACGTTATTTTAGAGTGTATATTGGGAATGTGAGGGATTTAAACAACAATTCGGATGGAGCATATACAAGGTGAGGTGAAAAAAACTGCAACAAAGTCAAACGCCACAATTTTTACATATTTTTAATTTCTATTTCTAAAAATGTCGGAAATAGTATCAAATTTTAGAATAAGTTTAGATTTGTTCGAATTGGTCACCTTAGGCACGAATTATGACCTTCAAACGGCCCATGAAACCGTCATACGCTGCCCGAATGTTGCTATGCAGTATTTTGGCCCATTCTCGGCAAAGCGCTTGGCGGAGAGGTGATCACACTTTCGTATTTTTTACTGTCGATCTTGCTTTCCAAAATACTCCAGAGTCCAACGGATTGGTATCCGGAGATTTTGGTGGCCTTTGTGGGCTGGAAATGAAGCGAGGAACCTAATTTTGTAACCATTCTTGGGTGCGATGGTGCTGAGTCCTTTTGGAAAGTCCAAGGTCTGCGGCCAAAATGTTTGCGTGTCCAAGGCTTTAATACACCCTCCAAAATATTTCCGCGATAATATTCGGCATTTATTCTGATGCCACGTTCGATTAATACGAGCGGAGACCGATCATCGGCTGTTATGGCGACGCACACCATCACCATGGCCAGCGCTTGAGTTCTGGTGGCCAACCGAAGGGGCACATTTTCAGCTGACCTCTTTGGCAAGTAAACACGATCATTTTGTTTGTTTACAAACTGCTGGACAACGAATGTTTTCTCATCGGAGCGGAGAAAACCAAATTCGGCAAATCACCACTTTCGGCCAAGCGATACAACTCTTTAGCTCTATTGAGTCTATTTTTTTTCTTTTGCGGTGTAAGTTCTTGCACTTTTTGGAATTTCAATGTCTTTACCCCGAGCTCATTTTTCAATATTTACCTAATGGAATATTGCGATATTCACCTCACGAACCATTTTTCGGCCACTGCGACGCAGGTTTCGATCAAGTCATTTCTTTACTATTCGAACCATTTCTGCTGATGTTGCTGTTTTCTTCCGTCCAATTCTTTGACGTCGGGCTACGCTACCAGTATCAGGGTAACGAGCGATGGTACGAGACACAAAAGATTTATTCACATTCAAATGCTGGAGTGCTCTAACGATAGCCACTCATGGTTTTCCAGCCAAATATAAAGAAATCACATTATCACGCTTTAATTCCATCACGAATAAGTTTTTTTGTGGAAAATTCTCACCAAAATGCTTTTGTACGGTTATAAATATAATGAGCTATCACTAAAAAAATTTTAACATCTGTCGGACGAGTGGCTTAGAAATGACAGCAGTCTGAAATTGGTTGCAGGTTTTTCATCTCACCCGGTATATCTCACAACGAAGGATCAGATCCTTATACATAGGTAGTTTATGGACTCACTCATTTTGGCACCTCTCCACAAAAATTGAACATTTTGATTATCATTTATCCACATAAAATTGGAAATAAATTTTCAGTATAAGATGAAGTGGGATACGGAATTGAGATAAATGGTCTATATCATTACATGTGTAGGTATTGCTTCCATATTTCTCCCAATTTTAGATATTTGGAAAGTTTAAGACTAGTGATCGAATCGAATTTGTTTTTTGTTCCAATTTATAGAGACGAAACCTTTATGAATTTGAACAGATTTTCAACGAGAAAAATGTGACTAAGATCCCAATTAATAATTTTTTTAACTATTCTCGTTTTTTTCGTAAGACAATAGCCGTAATTTTGTGGGTCCTCAACCGCAGAAACTGATGAGATTGAGAAAAACGGCGAAGCACGTAACATCTCTTTTTTGGCCATATATCATGATGTGTTGTCAGAATGCGGTAAATACAAAAAACACCCCCTTAACAAAGAAAAACTCTAAGTTGAATTGTTCATGTCCGTAAATTGGTCTGCCTTACTCCCTACGGGCAGATAACATTTTAACATTTCTTTTATTTAAAATGATACCCAACATTTTACTCAAATGTTTGTTTGGTCAATAAATATTTTGGAAAATACTTCTCTCCCAATAAAAAAAAAAATCTAAGAAAACTTTCAGTTTCAAATTCCCTCTAGAAATTTGTTTTTTTTTTTCTCAACAGGAGGCGCTTAAATCTTTATTTATTTGTATTACATATAACCCCCTTGGGAGTCCTCCAAGCCCATGCAATGACTTCCATCTCCAGTAGATACTACATAGAAGGCAAATACGAAGAACCACACACCGAATAGAGTATTAACTTTCAACAAAAATATCCTGTGAACCCTCGACACCACTGAAAGGGTTAAACATAAAGAGAAATATAATAACTATTTACGATTGCATTCACTCCCAAGCACCCCAGAATATGAAAAGAAAAATCAAGTTTTATTGGAAACAAAAAACATACAAAATTACCTACCTAATCGAAATCTAAGGAGCACAACAACAATAATGAAAACAACAACCACACACACACAAAATTACATTCTCAATTGGAATGTGCTGACAAAAAAATAAAACAAAAATAATTGTAGAAATAAAGAAAAACAAAAAATATACATATTTATATTTTTTATTATGATTATTATTATTGAAATCTATAAAAACAAAAAAATAAATGAAACAAATGATGATTATTATTACGAATAGAAAAACCAAAAAATAAAATAAAACAAATTACCCTTTAATAAGCCGCTACAATGGTAAGATGAAAATGATGATTTTTATATATATTATATGTGTGTATATTGTTATGTATTATGTAGTGAAAATAATTTGAAAAAAAGTTAATTGTAAGAGAAAAATCCCAAAAAAACCAACTAAAAATGTCTTCAAGAGAAACAAAAATTTAGAGTAATTAGTTTTTACACAGTATAAGAATAAATTTAATCCTATTCCACATCCAATACATTTTCACACACACACACACACACACACACATAGTTCAATGTAAATCATAAAATTCATACATACATTATTACGGAATACATTGACATTTTGTAACATAACAAAAATAAAACTATACTTTGTTAAAAACTCTATGTTATTGGTCTTGGAGCATCCTTCAAAGCATTAACGGCCCTTAAAAATATATTCGTAAAAAGTAAGCATTGTGAATTTTAAATGGCCTTGAAAAAATTCTACTTTGAAAGTAGACAGATTCTTTAAAACCCCAATAAGAAAACCTGAATATGTGTTCTCAAACATTTATTTAAAGGGATTTGAAACAACATTGTTAAAAAATTGGTCTTGAATTCTTTAAAATATATCCTCCGAGACTCTTAAATATCTGAATTCCTAAAATATTTATGGAAAAATATTCTTAAAAAATCCACGTTGAAAATATGTTGAACCCTTTACACGTCCTTTAAAAATATTCTTTAAAATTGCACGTTTCAAAAAAAAAAACCTTGGAACATACTATTAAAGATTGTACTTTAAAAGCTTTGAAAAATATTCTTAACAATTCCAATATAAATGCTTTAAAGCTCCTTCGAAAAATACCCTTAAACATTTTAAATAAGAAGCGTCCTTCCAAAAAATATTCTAAATAAAATATTCTTATAAATTCCATGATCAAAG